TATTGTGTTAGAAAGAACTTGTTTGTAATGCTATTTTGATAGACTTTCGCCAAAGAAATAAACATTTCAGCACTCGAGAGAGAATACAGTCACTGACGTCCTTTTCGTTCGGTGCATGCAGACAGGTAAATTCGTGTGATGATTGTATAACTAGGCTAGGTTACGGCCTAGTATTGTAGTAGTAAGAGAAGGCCCGGGTGGACTCCTGCCTGGCCGTAGGCCTACATCTAAATTTGTTCTTTGAGTCCTTAAAATAGGTCTAGAATATTCCTAGTAAATGTTCAGTTTGTTGTGTTTATGAGGGACCATTGATTCAATGAATTCTTTAATTGTTCATACTTAATATTGAATTTGAAGTAACTTTCTTAGGGTTCTAATTAAGCTTGTTTTACGAAGGTAATTTTCAATTACATTTCAATTTTTATCGCTGTGCGCGATGTATTTGCGGTGACGAAAAAATGAGTAATTTTTTTTTGCACACAAACCTAAAAAAGATCAAGTCAAGCGTCCACTAATAGAAAAATTAGTGGACGCTGGGGAATAGGCAAATAATATTGGGAGTTACAGTGATGACGTCACGATTGACTTATAATACAAATTAGAACAAGAGCAATGAGCTCTAAATAATGTACATGTACCAGGATGCAACAGCAACAACCTTTAACCCTTGTAGTTATGCCTTCAAATACAAATCAGAACATGAAGCAATAAGATTTAAACAGTGTACATGTTCCAGCATGCAACAGCACTAACCTTTTTGCCGTTCAGCTGCTGCCGCAAAGGCTGCCACTCTATTCCTTACATTTTCATTTGGTGGTAGAGGCGCTGGTTCCTCAGGTGGTGGTGGTATGTCCATGTCGCGCTCCATATTGGCACTGTAGCGTCCCTGCCTTGATGGTGACATGGCCCTATCTCGTGCTTCAACATCTGCTAAGCCTACCGCACCACCAGCCATGTCAGATCTGAATGTAAAAGGAGAAAGGGTGAAGTATTGTGGAAGCTTGTTGATATTAAGGAACCTCAGAATCAACTAATGTTCAGTGCCAAGTACCATCTATTAAAAAGTCACATGAAACAAATTAACTTATTATCACTGAACAAATTGTCCTTTGTCTTCCAAATTAAAGGCCATAAGAGATCAAACCTGTTAACATGTAATTTGCTTTGTATAATAAGGTGCTCTGTCTGTTCTTGTTTATGATAGCACTTCAATGAGTACACTGTGTGGAATGTCTCATACCTGTCTCTTATACACATCTAGATGTGTATAAGAGACAGGCATAGTTAAGGGGAGCCTGGTCACCGGTGAAATGTATGTTGGTGCATGCGTTCATGTTTTGCGAGAAGGAAAGTTTTTGCCTGCTACCATACGTCAAATGTCAGGTAAGGAAACAATCTGCAATCCCCACTCTTGTAACTAAATTAATAATAATAATGATAAATTTCGGTAATTAACTTAAATTAAATATTAAATTGTGATGTTGCAATCTTCAATCCACACTCTTGTAGAAATGCTTAATGAACATTATTAATTTAAGTATATTCATTAAGCATTAATACGGTAATAATTATGATAAATTTCGACAATTAAATTAAATTGTCGATATAATAGTCAGTTTACTTTTTATTGGCATAATGATAATTTTTTTTCTATGTTTTTGTGTGCATTTTTTATGTTCAAAATCTATATTTTTATAATTATTTATAATCGATTTTTTTATGTAAGTGATGTTGCAATCTGCAATCCGCTTAATGCTTAATTAACATTCAGGTATTTTCATTAAGCATTTTTACAACTGGTATATTCATTAAGCATTTATACAACTTATTTAATAATACTAATGATAAATTTCGGCAATTAAATTTAATTGATTCAGATGGTTTAATGGGCTTTGTATAACTATAATTTTACTTTTTATTGGTGTAAATATTTTTTATTTGTGTGCTTTTTTGATGGTCAATAATTTATTTTTTAAATTTCTTTTTTTTTTTTTGTAATTTTTGTAATCGATTTTGTATGTAAATCAAATACAATGATGTTGCAATATGGAATCTCCACTCTTAGGAATGCTTAATGAAGATTATTTCTTTTGTGTGCTGTTTTGATGTTCAAAATTTATATAATTATTTGTAATCGTTTTTGTATGCAAATACAGTGATGCTAGCCCTTGGGCTTTTTAACTGTATATGATGTATTGTTATATAATATTATTATTATTATTATTATTATTATTATTATTATTATTATTATTATTATTATTATTATTATTATTATTATTGTTATTGTTATTGTTATTGTTATTGTTATTGTTATTGTTATTGTTATTATTATTATTATTGTTATTATTGTTATTACTGTTATTATTGTTATTATTGTTATTATTGTTATTATGTTATATTGTTATTATGTTATATTGTTATTATTGTTATTATTGTTATTATGTTATATTGTTATTGTCATCATTATTATTATTATTATTGTTATTATTATTATTATTATTATTATTATTGTTATTATTGTTATTATTGTTATTATTGTTATTATGTTATATTGTTATTATTGTTATTATGTTATATTGTTATTATTGTTATTATTGTTATTATGTTATATTGTTATTGTCATCATTATTATTATTATTATTGTTATTATTATTATTATTATTGTTATTATTGTTATTATTGTTATTATTGTTATTATTGTTATTATTGTTATTATGTTATTGTTATTGTTATCATTATTATTATTATTATTATTATTATATAGTACTGAATAATGGCTGTTAAGTAAAAAAAAATAGCAACATGCTTTACAAATTACTGTAGGTCCAGCATGCTTCATTAACATTTTAGGTTTCTTTTGTGAGACATTCTGCAGAAAGACTTTCAAATAACAGTAAAATAAAGCAATTGTAAAATTCTTATATATATTTCTTTATATTTTAAAAGACAATCCGGACGAATTGCTGTCACTACAACGGGAATTCATACAAGATAAACGGGAAAGAGTCGATACTTCGTCTTCGGACAGTTCTGATTCTGATGATGATGACGTTGTGGCAACAACTTCGATTAAGAAGACTAACCCGAAGACATCTACCTCGAAGACGTCACAGAGAGTAAAGGACAAAGAGGTAATTTTAGTTCGCGCTATATGTTTCTAGCATACGTGGTATAATTGTTTAATTTGTTAAAACTTTGGAGTATTATACAGTAATTATTTGTATTTAGTTAAAATAGGCCTATATTAGGCCTGTTAAAATTAAATAATACAATTAATATAGTTAAATGTCATATTTTCACTTTAAAAAGTTATTTAGAAAATAAGTATAATTCAACAATAGTAAGCCAAGACTTATTCAAACGAAAACAAAAGCAAAGAAAAATTAAAGATTGGACAGGTATAAGCAAACACTGTTTCTGTCTGTCGTGGAATATTATATTTCCAAGTCTTATTGCCTATACAAAGGTATATTGCTTACTTTTCAGTACACCAATAACGTTTTCCACCGAAACAGTATGTCAGTACGGCAACAACGCGCATGCATTCCAAGGGAGGCACTTGTTTACTTTCCGGATGTGAAAAGTTTCAGCATAGTGAAGACGAGCCTGATATCCGGTGACATGTATTTTGGTGCAGACGTGAATGTTTTGTGGAAAGGAAAGTTAGTGCCTGCTATCATCCGTCAAATGTCAGGTAAGTACTGAATAATGGTTGGTGGTTTAATCGTTAGGTAAAACATTTTTTTACATGATATACAATTTACAGTAGGTCGCAATGCTTCATTAAGATGTTAATTTTTTTTGTGGGGGGGGGGGGGGACATGCAGAAAAATTTAAAAAATAATATTAAGACCAAGCAACTGTGAAATTCTTACATGTTCTTTTTATCTATACTTTAAAAGATAATCCTCACAAATTGCTGTCACTACAACGGGAATCCTTACGAAACGATAAGCGGAAAAGAGTCGAGACTTCGTCTTCGGACAGTTCTGATTCTGATGACAATGTCGATGTAGCAACAACTTCGATCAAGAAGACTAACCCAAAAACATCTAACTCAAAGACGTCAAAACAAGTAAAGGGCAAAGAGGTACCTTTAGATCGTTGCATATGTTTCTAGCACGCATATGTGGGATATTTGTTTGATTATGTTAAAAAGGTGGTGCATTAGGCCTATACAGAATTGTAATAATCCCATTACAGTAATTCAGTTAATTTTATATTTTGCCCAAATTGTAAAAAAAAAAAAATAGTAGGCAAAGACTTATGGAATTTAAAAGGACTTTATTCAAACGAAAACAATATAAAGAAAACTGAACGATTGAATAAGCATAAGCTTGCAATATCTGTCTGTCGTGGAATATTATATTTCCTAAACTTGCCGGCTACAAAAGTATATTGCTTACTTTTCAGTATACTAATAAAGTTATCAACCGAAACAGTGTGTCAGTATACCAACAACGCACCTACATTCCAAGAGAAGCACCAGTGGCAGCAACTTCGATCAAGAAGACCAACCCGAAGACATCCTCGAAATGGAAAATAGACGTAGAAGAGACTTCGGACAGTTCTGATTCTTCTTCTGATGATGTTGTGACGACAACTTCGATTAAGAAGACTAACCCGAAGACATCTACCTCGAAATGGAAAACAGACGTAGAAGTTACTTCGGACAGTTCCGATTCTTCTGATGATGATGTTGTGACAACAACTTCGATCAAGAAGACTAACACGAAGACATCTACTTCGAAGACGTCAAAGACAGTAAAGGACAAAGAGGTAATTTTAGATCGTTGTATGTGTTTCTAGCACGCATACGTGGGATATTTGTTTGATTATGTTAAAAGTTGGAGCATTATACAGAATTGTAATAATCCAATTAATTCAGTTAATTTTATCTTTTGCACAAATTATTCCAAACATAGTAGGCAAAGACTTATGAAAGTTAAAAGGACTTCAAACGAAAACAGAGAAAAAAAAACTGAACGATTGAATAGGCTTAAGCTTACAATACTTCTGTTTGTCGTGGAATATTATATTTCCAAGACTTGCCGTCTATGTACAAATGTATATTGCTTACTTTTCAGCGCACCAATAAAGTTATGTCAATATACCAACAACGCACCTACATTCCAAGAGAAGAACTTGTGGCAGCAACTGCGATCAAGAAGACTAACCCAAAAACATCTACCTCGAAATGGAAAATAGACGTAGAAGAGACTTCGGACAGTTCTGATTCTTCTTCTGATGATGTTGTGGCAACAACTTCGATCAAGAAGACTAACCCGAAAACATCTACCTCGAAGACGTCGAAGAATGTAACGGGCAAAGAGGTACCGTAATTTTAGATCGTTGTATGTTTCTAGCACGCATAAGTGGGTTGTTTGAGTATGTTAACAATTAGAGCATTATACAGATTTGTAATAATCCAATTAATTTATTTAATTTTATCTTTTGCAAAAATTATTTCAAAAAATAGTAGGCAAAGGCATGACATGTAAAAGGACTTTATTCAAACGAAAACAAAGTAAAGAAAACTGAACTATTGAATAGGCATAATCTTACAATATCTCTGTCTGTTGTGGGATATTATATTTCCTAGACTCCAACATTTAAAAGGACAATCAAACGAGAGAAAAAAAAAGAAGAAAATGATTAAACAAAAAGTTAACATTAACATTTTATTTAATTAAGACCTTTATATATTTGGGTGTCGTGGTAGCCAAATTTGTATTGCTTACTCTGTAATTTATTAGGCTACCTAGATACCGTAATCAAAGAGGAAAATCTAGTGCCTCATTAGATGTTGATAGTATTTTAAAACAGAACTAATAATAACTAAATAAATAATATATTTCAAACTGTAGATTCCTAGCGTATCATTACGAAGCGAGCCGTCAGGGAACAGCTCTGCTGCCATACAACAGGGGAACAGATGTCACGAGGAACCAATAACCGACCGGGAGGGTGATTTTGCTGCGATGGAGGCCACACTTCAAAATATTCGTGAGAAGTTGATTGATGCTCCAGAATGGTTACAGAAATTTGCGTACAAATCTACCAGCCTCCTCTCCGAACTTATCAACCAGGTGTCGGAGCTTCAAGATCAACATTTGCACTCGCAGGCTGGAACAGTTCCGAAACCTCTTATCCATTCTAGCCGATGACAGACGACGTCGATGAAAACCATCCCAACCTGTGAACCAGTAAGATACAAAGATCACCGATTGCCAGTAGCCTGCAGTATCAAACCAAAAGGCTCTTTTCAGAGCCACTATTCGAACAAAAGACATGAAGCATTATGATGAAATACAAGGACGATCACACCATTCCCTTCACACATTATAATATCTTAATTGGATTGCTAGAATTATACATTAACATAACATGATTGAACAATAATGATGGTTGTTACATTGTTACATACATATACATATACACACACATTAATTATCTGGCGGCCGCCACTTAATTATCTGGCGGCCGCCACTTAATTATCTGGCGGCCGCCACTTAATTATCTGGCGGCCGCCACTTAATTATCTGGCGGCCGCCACTTAATTATCTGGCGGCCGCCACTTATTTCTGTAGTACCCAGGTTGTGGTATAGCCTAAGCCTTACTCAATCTCTTGCAGAACGGGCTCTAGCTTTCCTCCCTAAACATAGGTAAGTTCAAATATGCGCATTTATAAGTATATTGTTATTGGCCTTTTAACTATTGAAGGTATATTAGTGATGTTTCCCATATTCTTCTAGATCACGATACTATGAATTAGGCACTGTCAACACTGTTATAGTTAGTGGTGTTCAAAAGACTTAGGCCCCTACTAGGCTTGAGGCCTAGGCCTACTTAATTATAATAGGTGTGTCGGGGTGAGGTTGCCACGCTGTCAGCGTAACACAGCTAACTAGTCCACGACGCTGTAAGCAAGGAAGACCCCTCCATTTTGTTAGTCTTGTTTGTTCTGTTTGGGTCATTTAGGGTAGAAGGTGTACAGTAGACTAAATTAGATCTAGGCCTACACTGAGTTAAGCCAGGGAGATGTCTCCCTAGTTAGGCCTTGGCCCTTTTTAACGAATCGGTAGACATCTTGAAGTGATGACAGGCATTGCGAATCAGTGGTGCGTGACCAACAGAAATAAGATAAGCTTTTGGGCTGATTGTCTGACATCATGTTATTTAAAAAATCATAGCTCCAAAACGGGGCGTCGTATCCAAAAAAAATTACCAGCAAAATGTTCTTAAAAGACTAGTGTACACCACCAAAAAAAATTGATTAATGTTTTTGACCTCTGAAATCAAGATGGAAAAGGAAAAGCCCATCTAAGTACTGTATTAAAATAGGCCTGCATTACAGTGCAGTAGCATAGCACTTTCGTGTTGTTACTGTTCCAGGTACTGATAATATAGAGATTTCTCTTATTATAAAGTACAAGTTATGTTTTATAAAGTATGTATAGTATAGTAAATCATATTTTTAACACAGGAAACTCTCATATGTTAATAAAACAATGCTAGTCCAGAGTATTACTAGTAGTAGTGCACTGTAATGCATACCTATTTTAATACACTGCTTTTAGGCTTTTCTTTTTCCATCTTGATCTCAGGGGTCAAAAACATTTTTCAATTTTTTTCAATCATATAGTGGTGTAGACTAGTCTTCTAAGAACATTTTGCTGGAAAAGATTTTTTTTATACGCCCCTCCCCCCCCCCCCCCCATTTGGAACTATGATTTTTTAAATAACGTATATCAGAAAATCAGCCCAAAAGCTTACCTTATTTCTGTTGGTTATACACTGCTGATTCGCAATGTTTGTCATCACTTAAAGATGTCTACCAATTCGTGAAAAGGCCTATACCCTAATGAATTCATAAGAGTCATAATGCAAACATGTAATTCTTTACTGAGGGCTTGCCTTCTTGCAGTTTTTATCTTAACATTGACATCATCTATCATGCATAATTTTTCTCTCAAGATCGACATCATATGCTGTCAATGGAGAAACTGCAAGAGTTCCTAAAAAATCGAGGCCTGTCCACGGTCTTTGAACGATTTCAGGAAGATAAGGTGAATTGAGATGATTTTCTTACATGTTTTGTTTTTAAAAAGGGCCTAAAAATAGAAATGCTCTGTAAACTAAAATATGCCTTTTCCACGAATAGATAGACATCTTGAAGTGATGACAACACCCAAGTCAGTGGTGCATAACTAACAAAAATGAGATAAGCTTTGAGGCCAGTGGCGGCGCCAGCGAGGTGGCAGGGACAAAGGCACCGGACAGGTCAAGCAGCCCCCCCCCCGCCGGACGGGGGTCAGACCATAAAATATATAAAAATAAGCGCACACCAAGGCAACACATGTCTGTCACCGTCTGAGAGTGCCATTTTCAGCCATCTAGAGGTTGATATTCTTTAAAAAATTCTCATTTGGGATTGGGAACCCCCTCTCAACCTCTTCTCCCAGCTCAAGCCTATGAGCTCAAGTCTCCCCCGTCGAACAACTTAGCCCCCCAGAAAATATATCCTAGAGCCGCCACTGTTTGAGGCTAGCTGAATTCTTGACATGTTATTTAAAAATTCATAACGGAGGGTCGTATCACATAATTTTTCCTGGAAAATATTTTACACCACTGTATGATTGAAAAAAATTGAAAAATTGTGTTGACCTATGAAATAATATTGGAAAAAAGTAGAGCCTATCTAACTAGTGTATTAGAATAGGCGTAATTAGTGTGCAGTACAGTACTGCAAGTATTGCAGTAACTAGGCTCATGTAAGTTTCAGTTAACACATGATAAAGAGATTTTCCTTGGTTAGAAATATGAATTACTATATTCTTTCTAAAACCCAAATTAGTAGTTTATCATAATAGAAATCTGTAAGTCAAACGGTAACTGAAACTTGCACGAGTCCAGCTATTGTTGTACTGCACTAATTAGGTCTATTCTAATACAGTGGTGTAGAATAGTTTTTAAGAACATTTTCCAAGAAAAATTATTGTGATACGACCCTCGTTATTGAGTTAAGGATTTTTAAAACACAAAATCATCAAAGCTTTTTTTTTTTGTTGGTTACACACCACTGGCTTGGGTGTTGTCATCACTTGAAGATGTCTACCGATTCATGGAAAAGGCATATGCAAATACAGGCAAACTCGCCTAAGTCGAATGTGCCCGAGTCAAAAAATTTGTTGAAGTTGAAATTATTCTTATGTCACTTCATCTTTCGAGTAATCTGATTTCTCATGCATTTCTCCTATAGAAGAATAAAAAATATTTTGCTTTCAGGGTAGGGCGCCGCCAGCACTTCAGATAGACAAATGTAAACACTGAAAGGGGTCTATTAACGCTATCGTCAAAAAAGATATTTTATACGTATTCCATCTAAAGGCATCTTATTTTCGCCCAGTCTTTGAGATCATGTTCTACAATTCTTATTTTTGGTTGCTAACATTTTTAGATATTCTGACATTTATTTTGTAGGATGTTTTCCAGAAAGTTCCAATGAAAATATAGTTTTTACATACACAAATTTCCATGTATTGTGTATTCAGTGCAACAATTACTTGTGGGTAGACCATATTCCAGTACTAGAGGTAGTCGTGGTTAAAAGTTAAATCCTGACTTTGTAGGGCATTAAACCAAATCAGTAATCTCTGTTTTCAAAGTTTCACACATGTTATTTAGTTTTTTTTTTGTTTTTTTTACTTTTGCAGATTGATGGAAAAGTAATTTTAGAGCTAACAGATGAAGAACTGAAAGACTATGTTCCTGTAAAGGGGGACAGGGTATCTCTCAGAGTGTTTGCTCGCAAGCAGGAAGGAGAAACTTCAGCAGAATGTAGAAAACTTGAATTACTTAAAGCTCTTCAGCCCAAAGCACGCCAGAAAAACACAGACAATCACACCTCACAGAAACAGTCACTTATAGCTTCCAAGACAGACTGTGCTATAACTGTTGGCTTCTGCCTTAGTATTGGTGATTCTTTCAGACAGGTTCGTGCCCCTTTAGGTGGAGGGATACGGCAGATTAGGGTTTCAAAAGAACTTAAGAAAAACAAACTAATTGAAAGAATTGTGCCATTGTTCTTCCCAAATGGAAAAAACTGTAAAGGATCTGTTGATGATTTCGTGTTTGACTTGGCAACAGATGTCACTGGCAATCAGTTTATAAGTGATGATGAATCTGTTCAACAAGTCATACAGCGTCTTGGTCTGAAGCATCTTAGGTGCTATTTAGTAGCCTCATCACACGACACTGACACCTCAGACGAACTCCCAGATATAGTGTTCAACGAGACAAGTACTTTCCATGAGCAACACACAAATGAAAAAGAGGATGTCATTATTATCAATGACAAAATGACAGAACCACTGCCTGCCTTAGCTTTGGAGGAATCAGATTTGGCTTCAAATCTTTCAGCACAATCTCCACCATTGTCACCCATACATGACAATCAATCGCCTGTTTATAACATACCCACAGAATTCATAGAAGAGGATACCCTTGCCTGGTTGGATCAGTCTGAAGTTCAATTTCCCTCATATTCAAATATGGCAGACATTAATGATACTTTATCGATAGTAAAAGAGATTAAACTACACCGTGGAAATGTTTTTCAGGATTTTGTTGACTTTTTCTCTTTAGAAGAGAATAGGAATTGCCGAACAACTACATTTGAAGCAAAAATGGTGAAAGGAAATGGAGAAATCGAAATAGCAGAGGACAACGGAGGGGTCATGAGAGACGCCCTTTCAGAGTTCTATCAGACGTTCTATCTTCAATGTACCACTGGAAACACAGTTTCTGTTCCAGTCCTTAGGCATGACATGGACAGTACACATTGGGGTGCTGTAGCAGAGGTGTTGCACCTAGCATATAGACAGGAACATATGTTTCCCGTAAAGATTGCAATGCCCTTTATGCAGCAGGTTCTGTTTGGCCAAGGGAACAATCCTATGGAGGCATTTATGCAGATGATACCTGATTGTGACAGAGTTCTGTTGGAAGACGCTCTTGCTTCTAATAGTTTTTCATCAGTTGATGAAGAGGAATTTTTGGATCTCATGTCTCGACACGATTCTAAAAGAATCCCGACAGATGCTGCTAGTCTAAAAATAGTTCTAACAGAAATAGCTCACAAGGAGATCATACAGATGCCAATGTTTGTTGCAGACTGCTGGAGTAGAATACTGAAAACATTGAATATTGCTCCAGATGATCTCGATAAGATATATAGGCAACTGAAGCCAAGCACAAAACGAGTGCTGAAGATGTTTCAATTTCCTGATTCAATGAGTGCAGATGAAAATAACCTAGCTTCATTCCTGAAGAGACTGGTTCGGGAGATGGATATGAGTCACCTGCCCCTATTCCTAAGATTTTGTACTGGTGCAGACATGACTGTACAAGACAAAATAAGTGTTAGATTCACCGAAACAACCATAAGATGCCCCACAGCGCATACCTGCGGATGTGTGCTAGAAATTCCACGTTTATACGCAGCTGAGCCCTTTATGACCTTTAAGTCAGAATTTCTGACTTTACTCCAGAACAGATACTGGCAAATGGACATTGTGTGACTGGTAATATCATGATTAATATAGGCATATGGGAGAATTCAGAAAGGTACATAGATATAGGATGTATTAGATGATTTTGTTATAATGTTTTTAAATTGAAATTAGGAGTTACTAAACTATAGTAACCATGTTTTTTTTTTGTTTCTGTGTCTGTTTTTATGCAAATATTCTAATCCTGTTTTTAAATTAGGAGGTAATGATTATGAATACCTGTTGTATGCCCTGTAGATGATGTCAACATAATTGGAAGTAGATAGCAAATTAACATCTGTAATTTTGTAAACCAGAAGATAAAGTAGGGGGAGGTATGGTATTTTAATAATTATTTCAGGGAACAGTGAGATTAAGTATCATGATAATTGAGATACTTGTTTTACAATGATTTAACAAAACGAACTTATAATTTAGGTGGACTTGAGTGTTTATAATTCCATTAATTTGTTAAGAGTTTAAAAATATTATGTTTAATATGTTTAATGGAATCTTCCATTTTTTAGAAGCTTATGATTAAGCTAAGGAAAACTATGCCTTGTCAATGGACAGGAAAGAATAGCGAAGTTAGTTTTTAAAAAAATAAAAAAAAATAAATAAAAAATAAAAAATCAGTAGACAGTGTTTATTGATTTTAAAAAATAATTCTTTTAGCCACACTGTGTGTTACAAAATATTTTATGCAATTGCAAGTTTCATGAGAGAAAAGAAATGTATAAGTGTTACAGTTATTTTGGCTTAATAAAGTTTGTAAAGCTTTTTATGCAAATATTATAATCCTGTTTTTAAATTAGGAGGTAATGATTATGAATACCTGTTGTATGCCCTGCAGATGATGTCAACATAATTGGAAGTAGATAGCAAATTAACATCTGTAATTTTGTAAACCAGAAGATAAAGTAGGAGGAGGTATGGTAGTTTATTAATTATTTCAGGGAACAGTGAAATTAAGTATCATGATAATCGAGATACTTGTTTTACAATGATTTAACAAAACGAACTTATAATTTAGGTGGACTTGAGTGTTTATAATTCCATTAATCTGTTAAGAGTTTTAAAATATTATGTTTAATATGTTTAATGGAATCTTCCATTTTTTAGAAGCTTAGTATGATTAAGCTAAGAAAAACTATGCCTTGTCAATGGACAGGAAAGAATAACGAAGTTAATTTTTTTTTAAATAAAAAAATAAAAAATAAAAAAAATCAGTAGACAGTGTTTATTGATTTAAAAAAATAATTCTTTTAGCCACACTGTGTGTTACAAAATATTTCATGCAATTGCATGTTTCATGAGAGAAAAAAAAATTATAAGTGTTACAGTTATTTTGGCTTAATAAAGTTTGTAAAGCTGGTTCATTTACTTGACTTTCAGATTTATTGTATTTTACTTTTAGATTTCTTGTTCCTTTGTTTTGTCCTCAGCAGTGCCAGCACCTGGTTCAACTCCCACCCTGGAATGGACTTGCATTATTGCTGCAAAGTGCTATAAATTTACATATGCCTAACAAACTTTCACTATACATTTATCAGGATTGCAAATGGGAATTTGAACTTTGACCATAGATAATTTGTGATAATAGATCTATGGTTCCATGAAAATTTTAAACTTTTATTTAAAATAAAATAAGGTACATAAGGTGTACAGCCACAAGACAAGAGACAAAAAGAACAAGATAATCTTGATTACAATCCCTCGCCCTGTTGCACTATGTTTTGTATATAGTCGATCCGCTGGTGGTTGTTTTTTTTTTTTTTCTCAATTTTTATTAATACCAACCAAAACATACATCACTGTAATGAGATTTCTGCAGATAATATTTTCCTGAAGACGAATTAAGCATCTCAATCGAAACGTCAAGATATCAACCAACAACAAGTTTTTTTTCAGAACTACAAGATAGTATAATACATACTCCAAGTATCGAAATGCATGCCAGAATTATCTACGTGGTGTGCCGCAATCATTATTACGAAGATTAAAATAATGGCAGAGAGGTTCAGTAATTAAATGAAAAACGCCTTTTTACATTGATGTGATATCAATACCTGGTGTTTTATCAATCTTAAAACGCCTTACAAGCCAATTATCCCATCAGTGGTTATAGGAGTGAGGAATAAAGAATTTACGGAGAGGCGAGGAAGGTAAGATTTAAAATTTGCATCAGGCTTGTTGGCAAGGATAGAACCAATATTGACGAAAAATGTAAAAATAGTTTGAAGTTTACATTTGGATATTTGTAAGGTTTCTTTAATGTTATGAGATTCAGTCATCCGAGTTATTTTCTTTTTGTTTTTATAAAATGCTTTATATACAAATGGCTAAATTCAAGTTCGACAGAAGACAGAGCCATATTTGGATCAGTAGTCCCATAAGCCTCATTACAATTTATTTATTTAATTCATTTTTAAGATTCAAAATAGTAGATGTATTTGTTGTCCGGGCAGTTAAATGCATTATTTTGAGGATACTAAAATCCTACTTCATTTCTCATACATTTGGTTTTCTATCATGTATATTTTAAATTCGTTCACTTGATCTTGAAAATGCGTCCGTGATGGACATGAAACGTCGATTCATTTTGTCAATAATTATAATAATTATATTTTGTGTATTTTGTGTTCATGTAATATAGTAAACGTCTCTTTATTATTTAGACAAGTTAATTAATAAAAGTTCAAAGGCATCAATAAACGCAGCTATATAGACAACACCAATGATGATATTTCTACTTGATTTAATTTCAAGTTCAATAAACAAGGATCATATAGTTGGATCAAGATCAATTCCATTCTTTGAATGAATTGTTATTTTGAAAATACAATGCTGCACGATTAAAAATCGCAACGGGACTGAAAGGTTCTCTGAACAAGTCATTCCATTCATTTTTATTTCCGAACGTTGTGGTGCTTGCAGAAAGTAATCATCAAATCAATTTTATAGTCGGAGTTTTTCAACCTAGGCAAATCTTGCTAAAAAGGTACACTTTCTCCATACTGTATAAAGGCTTCTTTGAACAGAATGACCTGTTTCAGGCACAAACGCCTGACCAAATAAACACAGTACCATTACGATTATTTATCGTGCAGGAAATCCACTCATGAGATCTGTCTGAATATTATAATATAGAACTCCCACAAAATAAGTGATTATTGGCATTTACATCAAAGAAATAAACAACCATGTTTATGACTGACATCGATCAAACTTCGCATTGCAGAAACGATGTAATCCAGAGAAAAGTAATATTGGATTTGTATCATATGCTTCGACCAATAGTTATAAATTATAGGGTGTTTTTTTTTTTTTTTTTTTTTTTTTTTTTTTTTTTATAGAATTATAGTATTGATACTATATCTCTTCTTTTTTTTTTTTTTTTTTTTTTTAACAATTATGAGGTCGGGGATGATGCAGGGCAGACAGTGGGCTTATTCAGAAACTGTGTGAGCCGGAAATTGTCTCCCTTCATTGAGAAATGGTTTACAGCTCATTAAATGCATGCAAAACAATAGGTCGCAGCGTATGATACAAATCCAATGCCTGGTGTACATCTGCAGGTGATTCGAGTCCATGGTGAACCTTCAAAATTTCGAGTAATTCATACATTTCTGGATCACATGGAATTCCTTCCCTGAATGTACATGCATTGCAGCATGCATCTATATCAGTCTGTTCTGTTGCAATCAAGTAATCCCTTGTTTCATATAGCAGTGGCATAGTGTACATTACAACAGGCCTTCCATGCGGAACATTCTCATTTTTGCTTCGTCGAATGTTGTGACAGTTCCAAACAGAAACAACACGATCTAAATCATTCTGCAAATAAACAAGAAAGAACACCAGAGATTAATGAAAATATGAATTCCTTTAAAAAATGATGAAATAACAGGCCGTGGAACTTTAAACGGACCTGACATTTTTTTACGATTTGACTTTGGATGTAACATACCATCATGTTGTTTCAGACCAATTTTCCAAACAGTGTGATAGACATTGAATTCACCCATGCAAAATTGTCCAAACATGTTTGAATTATCAAGAAATCTATAACACTAAAATGACAGCACATAAAAAGTATGGCAAAAAATATTACCACCTGATAATTCTTCATTTTAAGTATGTTTCTAATTATCAAAATGAATTTCTGGTTATCAGAGGATTTTAAATTTGCCGCTCTATTACCCTGAAGCTCAGTTAAATTAATAGTGGAGTGTTCTCTTATAAATTCCTTTACTCGCTCACCCACCCCCAAAAGAGATTCTGAAAGACATCCACATTTTCCACCCCATTGAAGAAGAGGATCTGCTAAAATTCATAAACCCACCTGTACCACCTTGGTGAAACAAAACTGCACAAGATTCATGTCAATGAAGTCTCCAGTAAATGATCCATTCTTCAGTGTATTAAGTTCATCAATCCAAAATTGAGTACATTCTTTTCGTAGAATGCTCCAGAAACTTTCTATTCTTTGATTGTGCATGCTCTTGCCATATAAAAAGCTGTCTTTTCCAGATAGAATTTCCTGCATACGAGCAACATGACCATTTTCTGTTCCCATATCACCTCGTATCATGGTGGGACATCCCTTCAGTGAATTGACAACTTCCATATAGTAGCCACCAATAACTCGCGGATCACTACTGGTTGAATGAACATTTAACCACATCAGCTGCCTAGAAAATCCATCGATGCAGCCATTTATACATAAGCCAAATGGCTTTAGTTTGTCATAAGAGTCTAAATGCCAAAGAAAGTTTGGCCCCTTGGCAAAATATGCTCTCCTTTTAAGCCTACCTCTTCTTCTCAAATTTACACCATCTTGGTCCAGTATTTGAAGAAGAGAATGGACTACTTTTCGAGGAATAGTTAAACCTGCTTGAATGCACTTTAAGTGCATCCACCTATAGAGATAAGAAACAATTATAGGTGAGAAAATGAGTGTAAAATGAAAAATAATTTTGAGAAACTCTCTCTAAACTTAAATTGCCTCCTACAACGTTCGGTGGCGGGGTGGGGGAGGGCGGTAGGCACATACACCGTTTCAACAAATTTTAAATAGTACAATTTTGGTCAAATCAAACCTTGTACAATTATGCTTCAGAAAATAAAATTAGTATGCCCTTCAACCCCTCCCTAAAACTTTATCCCCCAGAACCAATTGGGACAACCAAGGAACATAGCAATAATGAACTATATCTAATCATGTCGAAAAGGGGAAACATAATATAACTCTGCTGAACTCCTTCTGTAAAAACTGTAGCATGTATATTCTCTAATTAAATCTAATGCATTAAACTTTACATGTTTTGTTAAGTAAATTAATTAGTTTACAATAAAGAAGTTCAGTTTTCCATTTCCTTTCACCAGCCTGCCACTCCAATCCAGGTAATACCATTATTTTTCTGGACTCTACTTACGAACGAAATAAAACATATCAATTAATTTTTTTTATCTATCTTACACTTCTCCTCAGTCTTCCTCCTATTCAAACCCAACAGCCTTTTCAGGACTGTCACATGGTGACCCGTATAAACAATGGTGGACCTAGGCCATGGAAACGTCACACCTTCAAGGAACATTCAAATTCTACAATCTACAATAACTACAATCACTTTCATTTCTGTTCTCTGTGCAATGAACTTATTTTAAATAAAACAGTGAAAATAAGCATCTTGAAGTTTATTTCCAAAACTCTTGGTCATCTTTTTTTATAATATTTTTTTTTTACCTGTATCCATGCAATCCACCAGATTCTTTCAGTTGTTCACTAATAAACAGAGCCACATCCAAAACATCAGCGTAATTCTTTCTTCTAAAGAGGTTTTGAGTTGACAACCATCTTTTCAGAGTGCTCATGCTAATAACGCAGCCATGATTGAGTGCGAGAGCTCGCAATATCTCTTTGTATGAAAGTCCCAAATTAAAGTACAGTGCTGCCACATCCATATATGCCTACTGTTTAGTGAGAGTGTCCTAGATGACAGAAAAAAGGGAGAGTTAATATCTAGGCCAGCACAACACAACCACTTCATCGTGTAAGTAACAGCTGGCTACTGTATTTTATGCACAGAGAAAATTTCATGAAAGTGCTTACCGTAAATGCTCGGAGAAAAGCTAACGCCGCTCTCAATAAGCGCCACGACGCTTAATCGAGAGCAAAATTATATTACGCTGTGTGTCTTTGAGAAACAGGGTTTTAAATACAATGACAGAGTGTTAAAATGAACAAATATTACAATGAAGACAAGTATTTCTTTATGAACGTTTATAATTAGGATGATATAAGACCTATGATAGACTACGGGAATATGTGAAATAAGTAACATGGGAGCGGGCATAGAAAGCGCCTCGCCAATTTGTTTTTATAAGCGCCGCTCTCGAATAGGCACCGCTCTCAAAGAAGCGCCGCACTAAAGCTTCCAAAAATTGTATAAGCGCCGAGGCGCTTATTCGAGCATTATAGAATAGAATAGCAGTTGTAAGGAACAACTGAGTTATAGTCAAACTTCCAATGTAGATATAATTTCATCAAATTTAATTATTATTATCCAATTACACTCAGAGTCTAGTACCTTAAATGGCGAAAACCGAACAACAAACAAGACTGACCAAAATTAATTAGAAGTCTTGACGACGTGGTCTAGCCAACTGTGTTACTATTTTCTCTATGGTTACACCAAGCCAAAGCATTTTTCACAGTGGTAAAGTGCCATTTCCGGTCATCCAGAGGTCCCTATTGTCAGGCCTGCCTATTGTCAAAAAAATATTTTCGGAAGGGAAACTCCTCCAAACCCACCCTTTTTCTCAGGCATACAAACTCAAGTCCCTCATCTTCCCCCACCCAGAAAATGTATGAGCCGCCACCTCTAGTTAGGCCTAGTAGGCCTATAGCCTACACTACCCACTATAACATCGTTGACAGTGCCTTTAAATCATAATATCGTGATCTTGGTAAAAATTGGGAAATACCACTAATTATACTTTGAATAGGCTACTATACTTTGAATAATTATAAGGGGCTTACAAATGCATGTTTGAACTTACCTACGTTTACGAAGCTGGTGCCTGTTCTGCATCAAGTAAGGTTATACCGTAACCTACCGCAAACTGGGTATCAGATAATTAAGTGGCGGCCGCCAGATAATTAAGTGGCGGCCGCCAGATAATTAAGTGGCGGCCGCCAGATAATTAAGTGGCGGCCGCCAGATAATTAAGTGGCGGCCGCCAGATAATTAAGTGGCGGCCGCCAGATAATTAAGTGGCGGCCGCCAGATAATTAAGTGATGATAATTAATATATTGATAAAAAAAAATGTAGCGTCAGCACAATACTGTATAAATAAGAACGATAAAATAACACAATAATAAAAATACGGAAGTACGGAGGCGTATTACTGGTAACGTAAAATAATTTACGAGATAATCTCGTATAATATTACGTACCAGATAGCCTAACATTATTTTTACGTTCGCAGCATTACGCTTCCGTATAAATGTAATAAGTAACAACATTAATAATGATATGTAGCAATGTGAATGCGGCTTAATAATAAGTATTTGTGATAATTTATTTATTTTATTTGTTCAACTTTCTTTTATGAGGGCACAGCGAGGCTGACTCAAAGAGGCCCTCATAACAAGTACAAAATATATCCAGTAACAAGAGTAAAATTGAGATAGCACAATGATAAAATAGACTCTCGATCAAAAATTTAAAAACAATTGCAAATTGATAACAATTAATGAAGGTAGAAAATGATTTAAAAACAATTATTAATCCGGATTGCCGTCTCCACTACCGCAACCCAGTTTGCCGAATGCCAAATTGAAAACTCAAAAATTGTGAAATCGAGCTTGCCAAATCCCATTTTTCCCAGTGTAACAGCAACATAAGAAATTATTAACATCATAAATATATGAAATGCATTATTAGACTCTAATAATAGTTTAATATTATTTTATCTAAAAAAACTGCATTACATATTTAAAAGGCGCATACTAAATTTGGCTTAAAACATAACTTCTATTTTAATGGTTATTTTACTATACAATTGGGTATAGAAATATATATTTATCTATTAAAGCAATTTTATTACACAAAATTACAGAAAAAAAAATAACAGACATTGAAGCTGTAGAAATTTGTGCCACATTTGGATTATTAGAAGTTTGGAAATGGCTATTAGAGAATGAACTTTCTTACTTTTATGAAATCCTGAGTATACTGTAGATTTCGTTGTAGATAGGATACATCTCTAAAATCCCCAGATGCAGCTCTAGTTTTGATATGAATTATACGGTAAGGAGAATAAACCAACTGCTCAAATGTTCAGTGAATTATCAACATTTGGAACATATGGTGACAACAGTTCTCTAACTATGGTTCATCAGAAAATCAAGATGCTATTCATAAAAACGTATCCGACCAGTTTGTCGAAACCCAGTTTACCTATACCCAGTTGCGGAGTCCATGGTCACTTTGCCGAAATCCAGTTTGCCAAATCCAGTTCACCGAAATTAAGACAACCCAGTTTGCCGAATCTTGCTGACATCGTCGTACAATTGTACAGCATACTGTGCAAATATGATGGGTGGGTCAGGGAGGAGCCATCACCCGATTCTACCTAAATGATCTGACAAGTATCAGTTTCGGTGACAAATGGTAGTCATGATAGTTCCGTATAAAAGGCAAAATACTGAAAAACAACAATGCTGAGGGAAAACACACTTAAGGCTTGGTTATCAGTGAAGATTTGAATGAAATGAAAAGAAGGATTAAGGATCGTTTTCGAGTCGGCAAACTGGGTTTCGGCAAAGTGGACTAGGCCATCTGGCATTCGGCAAAATGGGTTTCGGCAATCTGGTCAGATCCTCATTAAATAATATACATTATAAAAAAAAAATCCAAGAACAACCATCAAAATTATTGCAAAATGCCCATTTATAAAAAATTACATCCAAAATTGTTATTCAATAATTTTCCCGTCTTTCATTTATACCATATCAACTAAGGAAGGCTCTTGGCAGACATTATTCTGGAACCTTCTGTAGGTTTTACTTTCCACTTCACAAGATTGAGGAAGAATCCTTACATACCGTAACTGAATCAACTTGTTAGGACGGATCTCCCATTGTGTGTGTTCGTTTTTGTTTTTTTATTTTTTTAAATTTAAATGAATTAATACTTTTTCTATCTTAATTTGAATGTGAAATCGATAAACATTTATAATGTATTTAATTTCAATTTAATTCATATATATTGCCATCCCAGATATGTGTTGCCGTCCCCACCCCACCCTCACCTACACATTTGAAATCTTATTGAAAAGAGATTAGAGCTGCTAATAATGTTATTTCTCTTAAAAGTATTTATACAGTAATTGAATAATAATTCTTTTTACC